TGTATATAGTACTTCTGTCTGGTGTATACAGTTACAATGTATATAGTTCTTCTGTCTAGTGTATACAGTTACAATATATATCGTTTCTCTGCCTGGTGTAAACAGTTACAATTTATGTAGTTTTTCTGTCTCGTGTGTACAGTTACAGTGTATATAGTTCTTCTGTCTGGTGTATACAGTTACAGTGTATATAGTACTTCTGTCTGGTGTATACAGTTACAATGTATATAGTTTTTCTGTCTAGTGTATACAGTTACAATGTATATCGTTTCTCTGCCTGGTGTAAACAGTTACAATTTATGTAGTTCTTCTGTCTGGTGTATACAGTTACAATGTACATACTCCCCTATCTCGTGTACACAGTAACAGTGTACATAGTTCACCTGTTTGTGGTGTACACAGTTACAGTGTATATAGTTCTTCTGTCTGGTGTATACAGTTACAATGTATATAGATCTTCTCTCTGGTGTATACAGTTATAATGTATATAGTTCTTCTGTCTGGCGTATACAGTTACAGTGTAAATAGCTTTTCTGTCTGGCGTATACAGTTACAATGTATATAGTTTCTCTGTCTGGTGTGTACAGTTACAGTGTATATAGTTCTTCTGTCTGGTGTATACAGTTACAGTGTATATAGTACTTCTGTCTGGTGTATACAGTTACAATGTATATAGTTCTTCTGTCTAGTGTGTACAGTTACAATGTATATCGTTTCTCTGCCTGGTGTAAACAGTTACAATTTATGTAGTTTTTCTGTCTCGTGTATACAGTTACAGTGTATATAGTTCTTCTGTCTGGTGTATACAGTTACAGTGTATATAGTTCTTCTGTCAGGTGTATACAGTTACAATGTATATAGTTCTTCTGTCTGGTGTATACAGTTACAGTGTATATAGTTCTTCTGTCTGGTGTATACAGTTACAGTGAATATAGTTCTTCTGTCTGGTGTTTACAGTTACAGTGTATATACTTCTTCTGTCTGGTGTATACAGTTACAGTGTATATACTTCTTCTGTCTCGTGTATACAGTTACAGTGTATATATTTCTTCTGTCTGGTGTATACAGTTACAATGTACATAGTTCCTCTGCCTTGTGTTTTTCATGAAGAACAAAGTTCTTTAGTATGCTGCAATTATGAACACACAACACCCTCTTTAATATGTGTTTACAGTTTTTATTCGAAATTTGTCCTTGTATTACGTACCTACGCCATAAGCAGAAAATAGAGTCTAGTTCAATAACGAACCTGCAGCAGGTTACTGTTGATTACTTCTCTGAACCAATAAACACGTGATTATACAAAGATGTAACAACATTTATCAATACAGTGAATATGGTAAATTTCATAACAAATATAATCGTTTGTTAACAATACTGACATATGAGCTCTTTCGACATAAACCGAATTAAGGTATTAGCTAGGTGGACATTAACAGTATTTAGGTATGAGCTCTTTCGACATTAACAGTATTTAGGTAGTAGCCACTTTGACATTAACAGAATTTAGGTATGAGCTCATTTGGATATCAACAGTATTCAGGCAAGAGCTCTTTGGACATTGACAGTATTTAAGTAGGAGTTCTTTGGACATTAACATAATTTAAATACGATCTCTTTGAACATTAACAGTATTTAAGTATGAGCTCCATGGACAGTAATAGTATGTAAGTATGAGCTCTTTGAACATAACAGCATTTAGGTATGAGCTCTTTGAACATTACAGCATTTAGGTACGATCTCCTTTGACATTAACAGTATTTAGGTGTGAGCTCTTTGGACATAAACAATATAAACGTAAAGGGTCTTTGGATGTTAGCAATACTTACGTTTTAGTCAATGGACAAAAACAAAATAAGCTTTAATGACATTGACAGTTGGCTTGCGTTTGAGCGCTTTTGACATTAACAGCTGTTACGTATGATATGTGTATGGACATGTATATCATTTACATTTAGAGTATACACCTATAAGTTCTGAGGACACTCACAACATTTGCATAAGTATTCTTTTGGTCATTAATAGTATTGGCGTACGGGTTCCCTACAAACTGTATGCTTATTAATGTATAAGCTGTATTTGGATATTTGCATTATTTACGTATGATTTCTTTTGACATTTATATTAACAAAGTGCGAGAGTTCTAAGAACATAAGCATCATTTATGGATGACAATCATTGGCATCGGTGGTATCTAGGTATAAGGGTTCAGAAGTTGTTTGATCTAGGTTACATTCAAGGGCTCAGTAAAGATTTCAAAATGTTTTTTTGTAGAGATGCATTAGTGACCAAAATTATGTCCAATGCAATTCCATATTTTGACTTGTACTATATGATCCCGTGTTTCAGTTGAACAATTGCCTTGTCCTTGCATGTGTTTGTGACGGATGCCACCCTAGGGCCAGGATACGCTTACCTTTTCGCGAACACCTGGTATCATAACTATTTGATAGTGATTCATAAACACATGCTCATGATATAGTCGGAATCGTACAATCGGATTGGATATTGGAAAGGGTTTTGTCGCTTTATTTGACGTTACTGGTAATTGCGTAAATGACCTATGAATGTACAGAGTCACTTGGAATTCATAGATATGTGGAGTACATGTCCACTAGTACACTAGACTTTTCTCGACTACTCACTATTCAGACAACTTTCTCCCCAATAACCTTGTGATATTTGTGAGAAATCACAATATCGGTAAATTCATAAAGTACAAAAAAACAATCTCTTCATATGCATACCAATTCATCGCACATATAAACATTCAAAAACAAATTTATGTCATTATATTCTGATATTTGTAGAAACAAACGTGCATTCATTAGTAGTTGTTGATATATGTCAGTGTTCAGGTGCACGAAGCTGCTGCAGTAGACTGACCGTTTGGAAATAATGATACGGATATGAACCATTTATCACATAATTCATAATGTCATCGATGCGATAAACCCATTCGATAAAATTAAAATCACGATTCGATAAATATCCAAATAAGCTCATCTCTCTAAGATTACTTTTAGCTCCATACAGCGATGCAATGTCAACTTACTATTTGCTACGGTTCCCAAAATGTTTAGGGTTTCCTGATGTAGACAAACCCGGTTGCAAATCATTTGGCACTATATGAAAGATTGGACGGTTCACTCAAACATTCATGTATTCATACACAGTTTCTATAGTTACTTGAATGTAACGTCTATCAACAATGACATCTTATGAAAAGGCATGTTTACCCTCATGTTATTCCGTATGGTAAGTATCTTACATTAAGAATAACAAATATATGAAGTCTTTGATGGCATTTAGAAGTGATACACATAAGGAAGAGAAGTTATAGATGTCAACTTCTTTAATTTGAGGAACACAACATTTCGGAGTATATGCTTACTCCTTCATCACCTTTATTCACCCGATGAAGGAGTAAGCATATACTCTGAAACGTCGTATTCCTCATGATAAAGAAGTTGACATTCATCACCTGATGAAAGAGTAATCATATACTCCGAAACATTGTGTTCCTCATAATAATGAAGTTCACATCCATAAATTCTCTTCTTTAACGAATATATGTTGACATATGAAAGACTAGCACAATACAATTCCTTATCTATGACACACTCGACTCATAAACTCAATGTATAACATGGAATTGTCACAAGGAAAGAAACACGCACAACTGCCACATAAGCAATGATAATCAGCCTGACAAATTACAAGTGTCTTTGAATGCGTCGGTTGTATGTCAATGCCAGACGTGAAATGGCAGGGGATCCACAAATGCATGCTCCTCCATGAGGTAAAATATAAAACCCTGGTAACCCCAGCAGAGAGAGGTGATTCGGGTTTGGGGGAATTATACTCATTGACAGAACTGAGCATCTATTAAGTTAAACATGTATTTGATATATGATATTTCATGTATGTTCCGGAGATTTTGGTGGAATAGAAGTGAACGAGGATGTAGCAGTTATTAATATTTCACAAAATGACTAATCCATTTACATTTAACTTAACACCGCAGTAAAACCAAATCCCCAATTACTCAATTTCCATCATTGTATTTGTGCTTACATATTGATAGCTTTATCTCCATGTCTGGCTATCTCGATGTTGTTTCGAATCCTACGCGTCGAGACAACATTTAACTTTCAATCCTTGTTAATGCGACGGGGAATGTTAAGGTGGAATATTTCTTTACGATCAGTTGAACATTTTTCTATACACTGTTCTTTTTCTCAACGTGAGGAAACAAAAGGCATCATGTTCACTTCCTGAAATCTGATAATCTTACAGGTTCTCGTTGCAGATAGTTAATCTAATAGCGATAACACAAAGTATACGCCCCCTTCTGTTGAGACGTTTCAGGTTTAATGTGGAGGGAAATAGGGGGATTCTGGGGAGTCATTATCATTTTGACCTGAGATAAATAGTTTTGATTTGCGGGAATGTTAGAATTATATAAATATATCATTACAAAAAAATATGCTTTGAATGAAACCTTGTATTCACAAATAAGCACTGGTTTCACAAGACTCTAAATGAACAAAGCATGTGAGGTATACAGAAACATGACGATCCGTTGACATGTATCTACAGATAGTCAGAAAAGAAAATGCGGCAAACGTGTTTCTCTATCATACAATTTACGTATCACAGCGGTGTCGTTGTAAGTAATACTGCTGGTTTGTGAGGGCACAGCAAGCACACCCTTATGTCAACGGAGTGTCCTGGAGCAGGAACATATATAAAAAACACGGAACTCTGCCCTGAGACAGGCACCCGTACATGTCATCAGAACATAGTGTCCACTTGGAGCTATGCCCTGAGATAGACAACCAAATGAAGCATTACAGTACATTGTAATCTCGAAACCACACCTTGAGATAGGCAACTAAATGCAGCATCGTAACATTGCCCTGCCCTGCCCTGCCCTGCCCTGCCCTGCCCTGCCCTGCCCTGCCCTGCCCTGCGCTGCCCTGCCCTGCCCTGCCCTGAGATAGGGGCATTTATACGTAGCATGAAAGTACATAAGAACATTTTGGATAAAGTCTTCCTGCTCCACAAGTATCACCGGAAGCTGGTGTCACTGACCCTGCGGGGCAGAGCCCGGGGATGAGCACTCCTCCAGTCCAGACCGTCCCCAAGCCGATTTGTGGGCTCAATTCTGTCACTAACTCTGAGGGACGGGGATCTTGGTAGTTCGCCCCCACCCTCAAGATCCTCCATCAACCGACCGTTTGCCTCTGGTCTGTCACTGATCCTGCGTGACAGAGCTCTGGAGTGGTCACCCCCGCTCTCCATAGCACTGTCAGTGGACGCTCGACCCCGTGACCCGCTCGGCTCGGCGATCTCAAGCTGTTCCTTGGACACAACAGACAGAGACTCTTCGGAGTACTCTTCCTGCGACAACACGCTGGATATTTCAACAGAGTTCTGACTCTCTCCCCTCCATACATTATTAAACCTATCGACCTCCACAGTATCATCCCGGTCTAGATCAGCTATCTCCGGCACAGTGCTGCAGTTTCGTGACGCTTCAGTGAGCGTTGCGTCGTCATCGTCATCGTCATCAGCATCACGGTCGTCGGTAACCTCTGATGATTCCGAGTGGGAGAGAGTTTCAGATGAAATCTTCGAAGCCACCATCAACCTAGAAAGACAATGTGGTGATTAAAAACTATTTGTTTGTTGTTTGTTTGCTTGTTCGTTCGTTGTTTAACGCCGCACTCAGCAATATTTCAGTTATATGACGGCGGTCCAGTGACTGACATCATGATCATCGATCAACGAAATTGTGATAAGGGGTATGCATGAATCAGGCAGCCTGATCACCCGATCCCAATAGTCGCCTCTTACAGCAAGCATGGGTTGCTGAGAAAAATATTGGGGAGGCATGTTCAATAATCTTAGCCGATATTTGATAACCTTGATTTAGGAGTATATATACAATGGGAGTCCACCACATTCACCTTATGTCATAATACCACCTAGGAATTTCATACAAGCATGTAAAGGAACTTCCTCTATCGAAAATTTTAAACCCCACTGATCCATATAGCAGTATTGGGCTTACGTTATCATCAAATATTTGGTACCAGGAGTTGTAGGTGATGAGTGAGTGAGTCTGGTTTTACGCCGCTTATAGCAATATTCCAGCAATATCACGACGGGTGACACCAGCAATGGGCTTCACACATTGTACCTATGTCGGGAATAGAACCCGGGGCTTCGGCGTGACAAGCGAACGCTTTAACCACTAGGCTACCCGAACGCCCCTGTAGGTTATGTATTCCAAGACATTGATATGTTTGTGTATACTAATTAACACTTTTTACATTGTAATGATGTTTGTTTTGCATGTTTATACCATGGACGATAGTAAATAAAGAATACACCCAGGTATTCATTAAAATGTTATGTCTAAAGATTTCCCTTTGTAAAACCATTTTTCTTTTCCATTTCTTTTCCCTGCCCTCCGCTTGTGAAGACAATGTCTTCAGTTTGATCTCTGTTGACTCCTAGTTTCCATTCATAACAATAACGTTCAAGCTCTGATTCTGTAAACCATTAATAATACTGGAAAATAATATAAAATTATATGCAGATAAGAACAAGAACAGCTGAGTAATAGCAGGATGTAACTGAATGCCTTGTGCCTAATTATCTTGAATTTGCAGAGCTAAATGGACAATCGGTCAAAGTGCCAGGCTAGCAAGCGCCAGGTGCTGAGATCGTATCTCGCTAGTGACCGGGTTGTTATTCAGCCTTGGGACCAACAGGTCTTTACAGTGTTGTCTCTACCCCTAGCGTACAGTACATACACCCTTTACATTCAAAAGAAACCACTCGTCCGATGGTAGATGACCAGATTGTGGAAAAACGAATGCTTTCATACACCCGAAACACAAAAACGTCAAAACGTGTGGTGTCACCTTGGGCAAGTAAATTTATCGGCTGTTGTATTTATTTTTTTTAATTGTATCTGCCAAATGTACTAATCTTTTGTTTATTATGTTGGTAAATATTTTGCATCATATACTCAGAAGAGTAATACCTATAATTATCCATATTGTTCAGGTCACCGTGTCACCTTGTTTAAGCATGCCAACTGACAAGGATTCTGGAATATTTCCGTTTTCTCACAAGTGTTTCGGATAATGAAGGGAGTAATAGATCTACTGAATGGTGTCTATTCCAGGTGATTTGGCACATTTAAAATATTGTATACTTTTGAGAATCTCATCTCTGCTTTTCAGATTTCAGAAATTCTTAAATATACATTTCACATTTCTGTCACAATTCACATCAGTGTGACTCGCTGTGTCAGAGGAATCATCCTGGTGCGTCGTATAATCACTGTCTTCCACTTGCCCTGGCCACATCACCAATATGACTGTCCCCTGCCAGATGCCTGGTTTCAGCTCCTGGTCTGTATCAACACCCGGTGTCCCCTGCCAGATGCCTGGTGTCGGCTCCTGGTCTGTATCAGCACCCGGTGTCCCCTGCCAGATACCTGGTGTCGGCTCCTGGTCTGTATCAGCACCCGGTGTCCCCTGCCAGATGCCTGGTTTCAGCTCCTGGTCTGTATCAGCACCCGGTGTCCCCTGCCAGATGCCTGGTGTCGGCTTCTGGTCTGTATCAGCACCCGGTGTCCCTTGCCAGATGCCTGATCTCGGCTCCTGGTCTGTATCAGCACCCGGTGTCCCCTGCCAGATGCCTGGTTTCAGCTCCTGGTCTGTATCAGCACCCGGTGTCCCCTGCCAGATGCCTGATGTCGGCTCCTGGTCTGTATCAGCACCCGGTGTCCCCTGCCAGATGCCTGGTTTCAGCTCCTGGTCTGTATCAGCACCCGGTGTCCCCTGCCAGATGCCTGATGTCGGCTTCTGGTCTGTATCAGCACCCGGTGTCCCCTGCCAGATGCCTGGTGTTGGCTCCTGGTCTGTATCAGCACCCGGTGTCCTGGCGTCTTCCCTCAGGCTGCTGTCGTCCCTTTCCTCTTGTACAAGTTTGTTTCCTTTGTCGTAATATCTGTTACTGGGATTTTAATACAGCTCGTAGTACGTAGTGAATACAGCTCGTCTCATTTGCTATCTCTACTCCGTGCTGTTTCAATATGTCTCTCAGTTTCACCGATAACCATTGGTCTTCCAAGTGACACATTCGAACGATAGTTATTTTTGTTTTGTTAGGGGTTTTTTTTGGAGATCCTGTGCGCTCTTTCAAAAGCTCGTGTCACTGGCGTTGGCAATTCCTAGTTTTTTCACTCTTCGTTTAGGTTTCATCCGGTCTATCCGGTATACCATAAAGCACCACGTTGTTGCGCTGATTTCTCCTTTCTTGATCTTCTATATGTGCTTCTAAATCTTCCAGAAAGCCACCCTTTCTCTCCGTTCTTTCGTTAAGTTCGTCAATATTAAGTCTCATTATCTCCTATTTTTCTGTGCTTGATTTCCCTTCTTTCGCCGATTTCAGGGATTTTATGTCCTCTTTCATGCCTTTTGCCATTCCTTCTTCCTAACCCATTACCTGTTTGATCATTGTCGCTTTTAATTCATCTAATTCCATCTCTAATGGCCCAGAATGTATGCAGTTTATGCACATAAATCGCATTTCTGTTCGGATTGGCAAAGTCCAAACAAGGTATTTTTGTCAAAAAGTTTAACGTTAGCTTCAGGTATGTCAATGATTTGATATATTCAATTTCCATCAAATGGCCAGTTACCTTCCAGGACTGTATGACAAGCCCGTATGACAAGGGGGATGACTTCAACTTTGTTTGATCAAGGTTACAACATCCATTGCAGAGGTGTGGAGGATATTTCCAAATTTGACGCATAGTGACAAAGGTGATGTCCGATGCAATCCCTGTTTTGACTTGTGCCGTGTGTTCACGTGTTTTGTTTGGGGTTTTTCTGGTTAGATGTTGACTTGCTTTTGCATGCTTGTGACGGCTGCCACGGGTGGTGCAGGATATTACGCTCACCTTTTCGCGAACACTAGGTATCATCACGCTCATGATAGTGTCGGAATCGAACAATTTACTCTGCTTTTGGAGACAGTTATTTCAAGTGTTACCAGTTTTATCTTGTAAATAAGGACGCCATTGTCGACATAATGGGGCAGAAGTATAAATTATGTATTTCACCCATGATCCTGGAATTGTTCCTGCATAAATCTGATTTATCAGCTCAACATAATCTTATATTAAGTGTCCATACCCGGCGTCCATTCAGACATGGGGTTGTAGATTTACACCTTTTCTGCCTAGCGCCTTATATATAATACAGTCTGTTAATAGATAGCGACACAATATCAGTCAGCATGAATATGGTAAACGGTAACTAAATAGGCTTTGTGAGGATAAGAGTACAAGTAAAATGAGTATTGTGTGAATATTTAATTAGAGATGTACAGACAGATGTAGAGTTGCCTGTTAATCGGACCTACATATCAAATATTGTTTATTTTATGAGTTTCAAACCATTAAATATTAGAATTAATTCATTTTAGTTGTAACGAAAAATTCAGACAAAGACTTCAATTACATGATCATAAAGCTACCTGGGACATTAAGAGAACTCGTATACTCGTAAGGCAGAGAGGGTGGTGGCGTAGGCTTTTTGTTATATGGGCTTCACACATTGTACCCATGTGGGGAATCGAACCCGGGTCTTCGGCGTGACAAGCGCACGCTTTAACCACTAGGCTACCTCACCGCCCACCCTACTGATAACAAGAAACTTTGTTTTTCAAAAGAACAGCTCATTATATGTCCATATTTTCAATAGGAACATACCATGTATGTGCTTGGTGCAACCTGAAACGTGCTCTCACATATGTTTACAGTATTTACTATTTTAGTAACTAGAAAGTCCATTTGAAGTTCTCACACAGACTGATAGCTGTGAATACGTTGATGAAAGAATATTGAAGATTTTGTCATTTATACCCACATTTTTAAGGCGTGGCAGTAATACATCATGTTTAACAGTATCAAAAGCTTTTGAAAAATCAATAAACAAACAGTAGAAACTCCCGTTCTGTGTACAGGGATATTTCTGGATCATTGCATGGAGGGAAAATATATGATCAGCAGTGGAATAATTTGATCTATATCCTGCTTGTGTCTCATGAATAATATCACTTTCATCACACCACTGTCGTAACCGATTGTTTAAAATAGAAGTGACATGAATATCTTATACATGGAGTCTATCAGTGATATGCCTCTGTAATTGTTGGGGTGTATTTGATGCCTAGGAAATATTAGTAGCAAATTGTTGTCACTGAACCAAATAAACTAAAGAATCCCGGTATGAGATAGAAACTGCCGGTGACCACTGGCTCGCTAGTACTGGAAATGATTGACAGTTAAACTGAAGTATTTTTTAGGTTACAGCCCGGCAAAGCCACATTTCGAAAATAGATAGCCCAAATTGATGTGGCTCTCGCGGCAATGGTTATGGTTGCGTGATTGTATAATGTGGCTCTCGCGGCTATGCTGTCAAAACATGCTTTGTGATTCTAACAGGTTACCGTATATAACAAAACAAGTCTTGTTTTCTCATTTTTTATTCAACAAGGATAACAGTAACATATTCATCAAAACTTTACATTGATGAATATGAATAGCATAATGGATTTATTGTCTTTACTGCAGAAGAAAGGGGGTCGCCCACGTGGTCAGCATATTCCATCTAACTCAAGTGTTGGTTCAGGAGCTGGATCTTGAGGGACGCAATACGTGCATCGATTACCTTGTACTTCTTTCTTCGTGAAGGTTCTGACCACTGGTGAGAGAGGCTCAGGACTGTAACCTCTTTGAGTGACTGCTCTCGCTGAAATAGCTTCACTACCTCGTAGATGGTCGGGTGGCACTTCTTGGCAAGTTTCTTTATCTTGTTGTGCCACCCTTCCAGGTGATTGTTGGTATGGTGGCCTTGGTTTTCGAAATGGTTCCAAATCTCTGGCATGAAGGCCCCTCCTTGAACCCAACTGGTTGTCACGTAGTCCATGAAGGCAGTCACTTTAGGGCCAGCAGGAGAGTCAGCAATGGCATCAAGCCACACGAGGTACTAAAGGGAGGGCAGGAGCTCTTCTCACCAGCTTCTTCACCTCCTCATCGTCGTCACTAACACGGTGTAGGAACTGGTCGCCTCCTTCAGTCTGGGAGGGACGTCACTTAAATATGAACTCAATGTCAAGTAAGACCAACTTTGATCTCTAAAGAACACCACGCTTAGTAATTTAAATGTGGGACACTCATTTAAAGGTATCGGTAATCGGATTAATTAATTACCCGCTAGAATAGGTGAAATGCACTCAGCTGAAAATGTGGCTCTACCGGCAATAGCCATTTCTGAAATGTGGCTCTCCCGGCTAGACACCATTTTTTACCACGAGACTCTATGGAATTTTTAACTTGTTTTGGAATGTTTCAATAATATAAATATTAACACGAACATAATAATGCCACTTGAAATAAAATGGGTGACGCACTACGTTTGACTCAATCACTCACTAAAATTATTTGGAAGTAAATCTATTGCAGACATTGCAATACCCGCTTTGTCCTTGCGAAATGCAAAGCCATTGCCGAAATTGATCATAAGTGTCAAAGAAGGTTATACCAAGTGACAATCTTCATTGTAACAATTACAAGGAAACTCAGATTTAATACGACGAAGCGTCGTCAAACGAAACAAAAACCAGAAAATGACAGTCAACCATCCGTTTATACCTCATCAATAATATAATCTGCACACACACAAAAAAAAGTAGCAAAATCGTAAATATCTGAGAGAGTATTGCCGACATCCATGTGAAATTAATACCAGCAATGAATTGTTCATTTCTGTATGGATTGGCTAAATTGAGGCTAGTCTTAGACGTTAACCAATTTGCATAAGCTCACGAGCACGCTCGCGGTGCTGACACAAACAAAAAACACAATCAGGGCGAATTTGTAGCATGGGATTCTGGCACGCCTGAAGGACGCATCTCTTTACAGCCAATTGAATCGACATAGATGACAGTACTAACCGAAAGTTCATTAAGATAATATGTACATGTTTCATTGCATGGAATCACCACATTTAGTGTTCAGACAAAGAACTTGGTCTTTCACGTGACATTATAGTGCATCATGTAAGGCCAATATGTTAAAGTAGGGAATATGTTATCTGCCCAAACCACGCATCAGTACTATCATCAACTTTTGACTTGACTCTAAAACCTGAACACAATTTCTTTTTGGCACTGGATTCCAAAGCTCCATAAAACTCAATAGATATTGCTGGGTCCAGCAAATGTACCACCAAATCCCTGTCTCAAAGATTAGCCATACTCCTTAATACAATTGCGAAAATATTTTCTATATATTCACAGAAAGTACTTGTGGCAAGGGGAATGACTAGCAGGTGGATTCTCAAAAACTCAAAGGATTTTTTGAATTTTTGCAACCTCAGGGAAGAGTTTAATTATGTCAAAACATTTGATTTTTCAACTTTGTACACCACTATCCCACACGACAAACTTCAAGACAAATTCATCTCTTGATGCATGGGGCACGTGTTACTCAACAAGGGGACCACAGATACAGTTTCATATCTTCAGAGGTTCGGGATAATTTGTGAGAGATGAAAGACAAACAATACAATGTGAGAAATTCTTGACTTCCTCATCTTTGTGAAATTTCGGAATAAACACTCAGGCCACAAGTAGGGTACCACTTGTTTCTGAATCGGAATTACTGCTCGGAATGGCAAAATATAAACAAAGAAATATGGCCAAGAAGTTTGTAGTTCAGGCACATCGATTATCTTCATATCGATCAATAATGGTAAAAAAGCCACTCCCCACCACCACTGTTTGATTAACAAACCTGAACTAGAAACCGCCTCATCTGTCTGTTTCATATTTATATTTCGTTCTATGCATAAAGATTCAGAGTGACAAAAACATACCAACGAGACTAAGAGGAATGACTTTATGTTTCCTTTCATGTGGAGCAATATTCCAGCAGCTCCCGCCCTTGGTGACCTCATGTCACAACTTTGGAGGTCCAATCGATCATTCTCTTTCTACCAAGATTTCAAAGACCGTCATACGATTTTTGCTCAACGGTTGTTTGATACGGGATACAACATTCAAAGCATCAGTGAAGCTTTCAAACATAATTATGGTAGATACGTGGAGGACAACTCCAAATTTGACGCATCAGTGACAAATATTATGTCCGATGCAGCTCCTCATATTGACTTTACCATATGTTTCCGTTTTTTATCGGGTGATTTGCCTTGCATGTCTTGTTTATCGGGTGATTTGCCTTGCATGTCTTGTTTATCGGGTGATTTGCCTTGCATGTCTTGTTTATCGGGTGATTTGCCTTGCATGTCTTGTTTATCGGGTGATTTGCCTTGCATGTCTTGTTTATCGGGTGATTTGCCTTGCATGTCTTGTTTATCGGGTGATTTGCCTTGCATGTCTTGTTTATCGGGTGCAACCGGTAGGGCGGGAAACGCTCAACTTTTCGCATGGTGTCATCACTATTTCATAGTTATTCATAAACACAACGCTTTCGATAAAGTCAGAATCATACAATGAGCTCTGCTTTACATAGAGATGTCTTACGATAGTAGAATGACTTTTGTCGTTTATATATTCTGATTATGATAATGTGAAGAAAATAAGAACTGTATACATACCTGTCGTCGGACTGCCTCGAAAGCCAGCCACTCGCTGGTTTCCGCAATCGCGTCTCCATCTCTGGAGATACCTGACGGCCTTGCTCCGATGGGGTGTCCCTGGCATCTGATGTCCTGTGTTCTCGGCCATTATGCCGTAAGTCTGTGTAGGAAGGACATGCAAGGTTCGCCTTGGTTGATTGTCTCTCATCTTCCATTAGAAACGCTGCATTTTGAACTTGCAGAGCACTTGTAGTGTTCGTTACACCATAAGACTTACTGGAGTCCGTATTTTCTATCAATATAGCTGTTTCTTTTCGCCCAGATTTTGTTTTATCAATGTTGTTATTGGACGGTTCCAACATGAAATTGTTAGCTGGAAGCCCATCGAAATTAGTCGGCTCCAAATGAGGAGAGTCTTGATCGTCCTCCGAGGCAGAAACTGTCATGTCTCCAGAATCACTCCCTGAATCGGTTGTAGGTAAGCTCCTTGCTGGGACTCTGGATACATGGTCACGTGGTATGGAAGACCCTCCTGGAAGTGGACCATGATTCAAGGGAGGTAATCGATCTCTGGTTAAGGTCACGCCTATCATTTGTTTTGGTTTTTCATGAGTCGTTACTTTATGAGAAGCAACTTGCATCATAGGAAACACTTTAGACTTACACGTGCACTTGATAACACACCCTACCACCAATAAAACACACGCTGCTGATAATATAAGGATGCCTACGACATGTAAAGTTCCATATTTCGAAAATCCAGTCTCATCACTAAAGGCCACGAGGGTAATGGTCAATCCAGGTATAAACAGGGGGATGGCGAAGCTTATCATACAGGGACCCAACAGAGATTTAATCTCTTCATTACGTTTCTTTTTCAAGCTCAAATGGTCTCTATTGGACGCCATGTTGAAACAAGGAAGAAGTATCTCTAAAGTGTCCCTTCTTCACATCTTGAGAAATGTAGGCTGATTAGGTTCTGAACATGGTCGAGGAATGGCATCTCCGGTTTCGCGTTGCATGACCTCCCTGAAAATAAAGGCATCAATCATTAATAGGATGGTTTCATTAAGCATCGCCTTCACACCACAGTTACCCGCTGCGCTTGGTATTGCAAGCCTGGTAGCTGCGTTGGCTGTGTCTAACCACATCTTATTACACAATGTGTGAACGATGAACGCAAATGTCGAACAGATATATATTATATATTCATACGAGACATCATTAACTATGTACGTATGCTTCAGCCCAGCATTGACAAAATTGTATTTTATTGTTCATTAATTATTAATAAATAGTATTGTAACGCTATTAAGTCATCGTGAAATATCAAGTTATGTAAGATAACGATGACAAACAGGGAATTTTCGGACAAATGATTGGTCGGAAGTTTACTAAATGTTACCAACTCTTTCAAATATTTTACGACAAAAAATTGTTTCTATCGACCTTATTCAAATTCAACATTTTACGACCACTGAGACATAGATCGATAAACACATTAATGCAAATAATAATCATTGTTCACCAGGTAGCTAGTCTTCAAGCTGTGGCAATGATGGTGGGTGGTTGATAGGTAGCAGCAGCGAATGAGGAAGTGAGGGGTTGGGCACTGATGCGGTGCGGGGGAGGGAGTCGCAGGAATATGTTTATAATATTTCTTACTGCTTTGTACATCGGAGCCATGGACATAAATTATTTTTAACTACCGTTCCCATGGCTACTGAATATATGTAGACTGTTGGTATGTTCATGTATATGCCAAGCACTTCACTATATACACATATGTTAATTCTAGTATTTCTTCATACAAATAGTTTCTCCAGCATTTCCATGTGCACATAGAGTAATTCTAGCATTTCACTATACACATATATTAACTCTACCATTTCACTATACACATATATTAATTCTAGCATTTCACTGTACACACAAAGTGGAAGCAATAAGTTACAAGGGCGAATCAAGCATTTTTAAAAGGGAAGGGTCCAAAATATGAAAATCCTCTCTCAGATATTTTTATTGCCTACAACAAAATACTATATCTGCTTTTCAAAATGGGAAGTGGCGAAGCCGCTGGAGCCACCACACCACCCCATCCCACTCCACCCCGCCCCACCCCGCCCCGCCCCGCCCCGCCACGCCCCGCACCGCACCGCACCGCACCGCACCGCACCGCACCGCACCGCACCGCACCAACCCCCATACACACCACCACCTCTGGGTCGGCCTTTGGTGTAATACTTTCAAGAAACTACACTCACGGTCATGTTACCAGGTGTTCGCGAAATGGATGTTATTAGTAGTCTCTGTCGTGAGAGAGTAGACATTGAAATAACTCGATTCCTATTTCTGCCAGAGATATAAGGAATTTCGTCAGTCCTATAATACGATCGGGTGTGTATTGAAAAACAACCATGTGTATTTGCACGACTATTATTGTGCGGATCCGTGGGACAGGTATTACATCATCTCCATGGTAGCACCTACAAAAAAGGTTACTTCAATCCATTGTCGAACTGTTTTGCTCATCATACAATGGCTACGTGTGATGTTGCCTGCCAACCCAGGCTTCATTACTGTATGTGTTGCCCAGGGTCGCCCCAACACAGCACAATAAATATTGATAAAAACACATTTACATAACGGCAGGGCGGGAGATAACTCACCTAGCCAGTTTACAGTGTTGTAGACATTACCAGGGAGACTATACTCCTGATATCGCAGAGAAAACACGTTGGCAATCGAAATAGATATAATAATATATATTTTACATGTCTAATATGGACGAAGGCATCCGCATAAGGTAAGGTGAAATGGGGTTTAACGTCGCGTGCAAGATTATTGCACTTATATAGCGACGTGCATGCACGTGTATGTGTATGTGTGTGTGTGTGCTTGTACTAGTCCGGACTGATGCCGATTTATAGTGCTAGCACACTGAGATATCATGCCGCAGTTTAACATGAATACCCCACTCAGACACAGTATACTGACTCTGAGCCGACCTGTCCTTGTTTTAGCCCCTTAATGCCGAGCGCCAGACAGGGTAACAACAAGTACCACTTTTAACGTCTTGGTATGACGCGGCTGGGGATCGAACCCCGGACCTTCCGCTCTTTGGGCGGACGCTCTGCCATTAGACCACGGAGGCGGTCACATCCGCATAGCGTTGTTTGAGCATCATTAGTGTCATATGTACCCCGAGGGCCCGCAGCAACCTCTGCTGGTCGTAAGGGGTGACAAAATGGATCGTTTGGACAAGCTCGTCATGGTACAGTAAACTACGGTTATAACGAACTCAAAGGGACTACAAATTTTAGTTCGTTATAACCGTAATTCGTTATAAGCATATATACAGCATAACTACAGCAAATAGTCGGGACTAAAAAGTTAGTTCGTTATATCCGTTAGTTCGTTATAAGCGTGTTCGGTATAACCGTAGTTAACTGTATTACGAAGTAACGAAGGCATGGTTCGTTGCACATAACAGCAATCACTGGATCGTCTGTTCTAGAACTGTCATGGTGTCATGTGCCCAACATCTGAATGTCACCGTGTATGAAAACAACATTAATAACTTTACCACTGTCGATGTATCAACGTCAACAGTATCATGTATACCGCTATGATTGAGTCAACTTTATACCCCATGTTCCAGGAAGTCAAATGTATTTTTAAACAGATTATAAATTATGTTTTCATAATACGTTTCTTTTCTACTTTTATATGACATTAATATTTAAACTAAAATGTGCCATATTCTTATTCCTGATTCTGAGGGTACCACATGCAAATTACAATTTGTTTTACCTTGTGGGTAACACATGCGCGCTTTATGGCAGTATCGGTAGTTGCATTAATAAGTAGGTATGCTACATGTCTTTGTGCCGTGTTGATCCACTGGATCAAAGTTATTTTATAGTTGTGATAAATTTGGCCACCACCCTCTATCGCTGTGTCAATTATTCATGACACCCACCACGAGATGCTCGATACGGTTTCAAGTACAGAATATTTTTCTTAGCTTCATTTCATAAAGTGTCTACAATAAAGAGGTTGCTACATCCACGGGTTTGTCACAATACTCGGATGTCCTGAACCACACACCATGTGATAATCTCCATATACATCTCCATTACCGGTGGCTATCAGTTTCCTGGCAGAGCTTTGCCGTCAGAACGTGTACATTCCAGGTGGAGAACGAATCATGTTCTGTTCCCGACGGGGATTTATTGAAACGTAGTAAAGGAAGTTATGAATCATTCATACAAAAGAGGTTTCACAGCGATTGTCTTTTCGCAGTAATTCTGAAGGAAATTCAGGCCTCTATCTTGATCATTCTTAGAATGCCACATGCGGGAGGAGTTTGAGATAGCCGAGAATCAACTACGCGTCTGATAGAAGCGGACAAGTGCACCTTTACCAATCTGACCCCGACTAACACAGGGGCACTGACAGCTATGTCACGACTAATTTCAGGACTACGTATTTACTTTTATTATTAAATTTTGAATGGGTATCGGTACGGCGAGGGAACCGAAAATGTACTTCACACATTGCACTCATGTGGGAACAGAACCCGAGCGTTCGGGGTGACGAGCGAACGCTATAACTACTCGGCTACCCAACAAGCTCTTTTTTAATGTGACACTGTAATTACATCAATCTGGTCATGAAGGGAAAACCCAACACTGGCCAGGCATGTTTAAAAAGTACCTCTTTTATTTCCCGTTAAATGGACCAGTGTACAGTGTATTCTCAGCTCCTTGAGGTGGATGCAATCCTAACTGGTTGTTGGTACCAAGTCACCGGTGATAGAAAGATGCATTTTACTTTCGATCACGGAGATGTTAAATCTGGGTTTCAAAGTGAGACAACGTCAGGCTGGGAAACCCTTCAGTGTCAGGTATGTGGACAGTGGACTGACTGGCTTAACATTGCGTGATTTGTTTACTACCTTTCAAACATGCCCTCAATATCATCTCTAGGTCATTTATCTAGACTTTATATATTTATACCTTGTCTTTGTTTAATTGGTGTAACCTGTCTACTAGATTGATGCAAATTAAAGAATTGTTTGTTTGTTCTTTAACGCTTCACTCAACTACATTCCAGCTATATGACAGCGGTATGTATATAATATATTCTGAACGAGACAACCCAGTGATTGACATCATGAGCATAGGTCCACGCAATATTTACTACAAGCAATAGCTTCCTGTCGCAATAAGTTTCCGGAAGCTTCTTCTCTTACTCGGAGTCCCCGCGGGTTTTGCAGGATTGAGCTAGCGGACAGATAGATATACGGAAGTGTTTTGATCGACTAGAATCGAACTTCCCAGGATGTCCAATATGCCCGAGAAGGTCTTCCTTTAAGATTCGAAGCATACCCCCAATGTGGCACACAAGACGTGCACGATTACACAAACATTGACGTAAGGGTATGACGTGTTACTTGACGTCCGTGCTAGCTGCACAACACGGGACCTTGGTAGCGCATGCCCAGGAATCCACAAGTAGGTAAAACCTTAGGGCAGCCATCGATTCTGTGTCAATGTATGGCATATCCAATTCCGTTGTATGTTCATGCTGATATGAGGATTTTCGGATGGTCACACTGCGCTATGTCCTAACGTCAAACCATATATTTTCTGTTCTGTATTAATCCAAGGGTGTGTTGTTTTAAACAGGCTTACTCGACTGTGTACTCGGCGCCGTCGTATGGCAGGAGTACTTCTGTGCGGCGTAAGACAACATACACTTACTTTTCATGCAGAATGTGTGAGTGGCGGGTGCTACCAGTAGAGGGGGCACGGGTGGTCCAGTCGTCTAAGGCGCCGCGATTCGCTGTGCAGAGTTGGGTCCCTTGGGCACGCCAGAAACTTATTATTGTGGGCTCGAATCCCGGTTCGCCCTGATTAGGTTTCTAGGTTTGTCAGCACCATACCAGTGCCTGTGGGTTTCACCGAAGTTGTAAACGTCTGAGACCTGCATCACTTCGGGCTTTCCTCCCACATTAAGCTGACACGCTGCGATATAACTGGAATACTGTTAAAAGCGGCGTTAAACCCAACTCACTCACTCACTACCAGTAGAGCAGGTAGGACATGTTTACTCTTTTCGCGAACACCTGATGACATCACTGATTTTCAGTGATCCATTCATGTAATTTTCACCACTATTTTGCCTTTTAAGCCAAATGGAATCAGTTTCGGCAGATAATCGAGGCCGATTACTCTCTGGCGTTAACGTTTTATATTTACTCTTTTGTTTTTCTTCTTCTAATATAGAATTTAAACGAAAAATTGTTTCTATTAAATAATTGTATTTATAAGTGAAATACTATTTGTATAAATGTTAGTATCAGTGATCTATATAATTTGTCTATGTCTTCTTTTCTTTTTTAAAAAGAGAAGAAAGATAAACACGAATGTCTGTCTTGACAGTTGTAAAACCAAAATTCGTCTGATGAAGAGAGCGAGTTTCCACCTGCAGGCGCGGCTGCAGTGCAACCTATCAACTTGTGTCTCGACGGAAAAGGCCACATTCGTACGTGTATTGAGTTTTATGGATGCCATAACTGTATGATGACGTCACGTCATATTTGATATTCGGTTTTTCCTTACGTAGATCTCATGTTTGTTACATTACATAGTTTTATTCTGACCTGATGTGTGCATGATGTTATATGTTCTGTCATTGTGGTGCTCTTGAGTGTGCAATATGTTACGTCAGCTATATGTATAATAACCTTATATCGTCTGTCCTCATACTCACCTTTTACATGCATTATATTGTTTTCATCTATCTTGATACTGACCTTGGTTGCATTCGGCTATACCATCTATCCTTACTGACGTTATGTGTGAATTGTGTTATATAGCATCTATCCTTCAACTGGCTTTATGTTTGTATTGTGTTATATAATCTCTCCTTATACTCACCTTATGTATGCATTATGTTCTATCATCTGTCCTTATATTCACCTTATGTGTGCATTGTATCATCATATATCCTTATACTCACCGTGTGCATTGTGTTTTACATCTGTCCTTATATTGACCTCATACGTGCCTTATGTCACACCATCTATCCTTATAATGAACGTACGTGTGCATTATGTTACACAATCTATCCTTATATTGACCTCATGTGTGCATTATGTAACACCATCTATCCTTATATTGACTTCATTTGTGCATTATGTCACACACCTATCCAAATATTGACTTCATGTGTGCAGTATGTCACACCATCTATCCTTATATTGACGTCATGTGTGCATTATGTCACACCATCTATCCATATATTGACTTCATGTGTGCATTATGTTACACAATCTATCCTTATATTGACGTCATGTGTGCATTATGTCACACCATCTATCCTTATATTGACTTCATGTGTGCATTATGTCACACCATCTATCCATATATTGACCTCATGAGTACATTATGTCACACCATCTATCCTTATATTGACGTCATGTGTGCTTTATTTCACACAATCTATCCTTATATTGACGTCATGAGGGCATTATGTCACACCATCTATTCTTATAATGATCGCATGTTTGCATTGTGTAATATCATCTTTCATTATACTCGCCTTATGTATGCATTATATGTATACCATCTGTCCCCTCTTCCGTCACACCCACAGCGGTAAAAACGCTCATAGGAATAACGAAATACTGTCTATGGCGATACCCGTCGCCCCAACAGCAATGTCCTCAACTCAAATACCCACAACAAATGCCAGTCAGCACAACATTTAATAACCAGTCACATACCCTCCATTCCTGAAGAATCACAGCGTGGCAGTCAACGTACAAGACTAGTCCTTTTGGTGGCGTTCCAACCTACAGCCGCGTCTAGCGTCCACTCAGACCATGACAGGGTAATCATAAATCCCAACATGTCTTTGTACAATGTCTACCCGACCTCTGCGTGAGTGCAATCGGGCATTGGGGTCACCAACACAACTCAACCGGCTCCGTGTACGCGTGAAAGACTTAAATGATCCTCGATTCTGGTTGATGAAGATAATTAGGAGAGGAGGATGAGGCACAGCCCCAGTGCCCGAGGAAGTACCACACGTCGCGTCTTGCTAACAGTGTTGGCATTTGCTGTCGTCACTGACTGAAGCGGCGAAACCGATACCACAGCAAATATAACCAGAACTCCTGAATATTTGATAAGTAGTGGCATGAAATGAGAGTAGTTTGCCAGGGATGCCGGTTACCAAAGTCGGCTTCTATGGAACCTTTATCGAGTGATCCCAACCCTCTACTAAACCCTTCTGCGTCAGTCGGTTGTATCTGTTCATTATAGGCATACGTCAAGTAAGATGTTAGAAAAGTGAAAATCAATGTCTGATTTTAGTGTGATTGACAGTTTGAGGAAAATATCAATTTATATGAATAATAAATATTTACGGTTCTTATTCAACTTACGCTTTCTGTGTCTCAGATCAAGGTATTTCCTCGTGGTCTCCCGGCACAGCTCTCACCACCACAAGCGTTGTTATTCCCCATGATGTTCTGTGTGAGTTGTTGTTCAATCACCTGGTGATTGTTTACCTTTGTATTGATCGGCCGTGCCTTTACCGACCAGCATAGTGGGGCACGGTGCACTGGGAACGGCCTGTGATGGCATGGGTGGACTCCCACCAAACAGTGTCGTCATGGAGGCATATCAACATACAGCGCAAGGATCTCTTCTTGTGTCATTGCACAGTCTCATTTCTACAACTCTTTGTGACTGGTTGCTCTCTTCTTACCGACCTTCCTTTCACAGAACCCAGTTATCTATAGCTGCGATTAAATACAAGCTCGGGGTGTAGCTTTCTATTGGATAGATAGCGTTAGGGGTGAATCATTACGCTTTGTGCGTGAAATCTGAACTGCCGTTATGTTTGTTAGGCTCTGAAATGGGTGTACTAGACGGACTTAACACCAAAATATTATTTTAAGCTCGTTACAGACTTTCAATTTCAGCTGAGCACTTTGTGGAGAGAGAAGTCATTTGAAGTCGATATTGCTTCAATGGTTACAAACAGCTCAAACGAATACTACGGACGCCTAAGAATTATTTTTTTTATTGCTTTTTTTTCTAATTTTCAGTATTTCCTTTGACAAAAAAAACCATAAAAAACTGTTTTAGTTGTACTCGTGATCAGAATTATCCCCGTCACGCTCATGCCTACTGAAGATGAATTGAGGTTTTAATTTTTCTTCTTAGAAAGTTATACGTCCCATAAGTGTTCAATCATCTTTATTTGTTACCACAGCACATGCTTTCTCCCTTTTGAAATTTCGAATGTATGGTTGTAGCGTGACGTGCTTGGTACAGCCCTGAAGAGCGGAGAACTATGTTAATATAACCAGATTATTCAATTCGTTTTCACCCGCAACGCTAACCCTTAACTCACATCACAATTCACACATACCCCAGAGGGACGTTGCTGGATAGGAATATTGATGACACATTCTTAAGTTTGTATTCCAGGCACTTGTGTAGATAGATCGATTGGCTGAGTTTATGGTATATTTACAATCACGCGACGCCCGCGGGGATTCGGGGTAGGACAAACCTGTGTATGTCGTAAGAGGCGACTGATTGGTTCGTTGCTTGTCGTGGTATCACAATCGCTGGATCGAAACACATGTTAACGACTTGATTGTCTGGTACGGACGCGACTATGCACAGGCCGTTGTTATATAGCTGGAATATTGCTGGGTGAAGCAATATGGGTATGCATAACGGCCGGGTATTCGACTCGAGAGGACGGATCCATCTACTCCCACATCCTAGTGTTTCTATTGAAAGGACTTCATTGTATTCGTATATAAATGCCATCGTCTGGGCTCACTCTAAATGAGACCACTTGTTGGTTGATTTGTTGACATTTGGGCTGAAGATAAAAGTATGCATAAAATGTCAAGCAAACGTCAAACTAATGCAAAAGATATAAATTACGTATGCATTTTTAATGCATTGCCATCATACGATATCGCATTAAATCAGATATCAGAGCATATTGTTTTGGCAATACGTATTTTGATAATGAATGACATTTATTAAAAGTTTATGCATTCGTACAATTACAAGGCGTAGAAAACTCGTTACAGCAAGAAACGTTCGGTTCGGATTGAGTTAATGGTTTTGTACGACGCTGTCAGAAACATTCTAGCTACATCACGTGGTCTGTGAATAGTCGATGCCAAACCAGACAGACACCTGGTGTAGCGGACAGAGCATCTGCCGGGAGAGCGGAAGGTTGGGGGTTCGATCTCAATATACGAGGGCCTCACATTGAAAGACTTGACCTAAAGACATTAACATGATTTATCTTTCAACTTAATTTTGTCTGTTTGTTTGTTTGTTGTTTAATGCCGCACTCAGCAATATTCCAGCTGTATGGTCTGTAAATAATCGAGTATGGACCAGACAATCCAGTGACTGACATCATGATCATCGATCAATGGGACCGACGATATGCATCAACCAAGTCAGCGGGCCTGACCACCCGATCCCGTTAGTCGCCTCCTACGACGAGCATAGTCGCATTTTCAACATAATCCCCTTCTACATTGATACACATTAGCCAACGATGTTGGATCGATTAAATATCAGTTTCATAGAAGTTCTTCTTTTGTCAACAGCGTTCTCCACAGCTGCAATGACGACATCGTTGGAGTCAAAATCGGTTCCTGATAGAGCTCCCTTCATCTTTGGGACCAGATGGAAGTCCGACAGAGCAAGATCAGAAGAATGAGGTGGGTGCTGAAGCAGTTCCAAGCCTCTCTCGTAGAGTGTAGCCAATGCAAATGATCTGTCGACTGGCGCATTGTCCTAATGGAAGTAGCTTACATTTTCTCAGCTTCACATTTATTTTTAATTCCATCACGTTGTTGACTCAAAAGTGTGGCATAATGTGCTCCGTTTATTGCCTGGCCCTTTGGACATCCTAGGTATCCCAGAACACGGAGGCCATTAACGATCCAGCTGATGGGACAGCTTTTGGCTTCTTTGGTGGAGGGGATGTCAAATGCTTCCTCTGTTTGGATGGTTGTTTGGACACGGGTTGGAATTGATGAACCCAGGACAGGTTAAAATCAAACAATGCGCTATTGAAAAAGCATAAACAAATATAGATCTACCTTATGCCAGACGGCTCCTTCGCATTATCAAGGGAGGTAACTCTTAATACGTTTTGCTGCCCACTATCAATGTTCTCTTTGCGACACATGAATGGTTTCATAGCTGGGTAATACTTTAGAATGTTGGAACATCATTGGCCCAACATTGTTGTATGTTTGTAAGAGTCTGATATCGCAAATAAAATTTATTCTACAATATTAACACGTAATTTCCATTTTTTTTTCTTTGTTCGTCGAAAAACTTCTCACAGTTTTGTATCAACTGGTAAAGTGGCCCGCAGAAAGTGGGTTGAAATAAAATTGTGGATCGGTTAGTCAAAATGGGCCTAGTCAAAACGGGCCGTTACATACGACCAGAACTGGGATAAACAGTCCACAATTTCGCAAAACCCCATTTACTGCGGTAATGCTTTCGGTTAGCTCTAAAACACATGGCGATATATATGCGGAATATGATTTAGGTTCATGCTAGTAGAGTGCCCCATATATATTTTTTCAACTCACCTCCGACTCAAAACTTATTTATAATCTTGTTTGAAATGTGTTATTTGATTGTTTTATGGACATTTTCAACATTTCTTAGGTAAATTTTACTCGTATAAAAGAATCAGACGTGGACCAAAGTCACTATTTAAGAAGTTCTAAATTTAATTTGGATTGTTAAGTCAACAAAGTGAGTACTCTTATTGTATTTATCTCTTTCACTGAATAACTTGTAAAATAAATAGCATCAGAATGATTTCGTCTATTTTACAAAAAAAAAAAGAAATAAAAGTCAAGTTGTTTAAGCATGAAATCATCTCAATAATCAATACTTGAAATCTAATGCTGTAAGGGTTTAATAAATATAGAATACTAAACGAGCTCCCGTGTAATACCAATTTTATGAAACGAGTGAATAGTTCTGGTATCTGACGAGCGAAAGTGAGTCAGACACCACATCTATTCACGAGTTTCATAAAATTGGTTTTACACGGGAGCGAGTTTAGTATTTTATTTATTACTTGCCTCTTATAACTTTTTTGGAATTATACTGTTGAGTATGAATAGGCTGACACTTACACGATCCACGGCATAGTCCAATTGAGTTTAACAGAATAATACTTCAAATACGTCAAAAGTTGAAACGTATGAATTTAATACCATTCAACGGCCCACCTTTAGAATTCACAAAATTATCGTAGGGCTAAGACTATCGCAACTCACATACTTTAACAGACTAACGACTGTCGTTGCGATCGCCTTGTGGAACGGGCCTTGCACCTCAAAGTTTACAATAACGTCACAATACCCGATGACGTAATTTGTGGATTTTTGTTGCAAGATCCATCGGCGAAACAATGCCATGTGACGTCAGCCTAGCAACACGGTTGCTGGGGTCATCGAGTGTGCATAAGCTCCTCTCAGTGATCTATCAACTCCACAAGCAATGTCGTTGAATAAGCCGAGGGATGTTGAGAGCTTTCAATATTTGTTCGTGAAACGTGTTTCGAGAGTACATAAGCACGCGTTTTGGTATTACACAATGTGTAATACAGCTGTATGTTTACTAAACGGATGATCTCTTCACGGGCAAGTAATAATAGTTATTAGTGTTTTTGTTTGCTATTTTCAGTGTATTGTGCAAAATAAATAAATTCTGACCTGAAAACGAGATCATATCTTTCATGTCAAGAGTGGAATACGTAATAAAACCGGTTTGCTTGAACTTTCGTCTCGCCAAATTTAACATTTGAATCATCATGCTCCGCATTCTGTTTAAAATTTAAAATGTAGCAACTTCAAATCTACAAATAACATATCTCTACCTTGAAAACACAGTATCTGTATCTCCTAATTAATTCTCTCTATAGTCCTGGGTTTGAAGAGTGCGTGTCCCTGATGTTGAAGAATTACTGATTATTTCCCGATCTCTGTAAGTATTTGTTATTATTTCCCATGTTTTATCACTTGGGTTGCATGACGTTTCATACTTGCCAACGAAAGCACTCGATCAAATGGTGTTATATCATGATAGTTTCTCCAATGTACCGCCTTTGTTATTGTATAATGACTTACCTCTCGCCCTGTTCCAGTCAAAGATGTTGTATAATGATTTACCCCTCGCCCTTGTCCAGTCAAAGATGTTGTATAATGATTTACCTCTCGCCCTAGTCCAGTCAAAGATGTTGTATAATGATTAACCTCTAACCCTAGTCCAGTCAAAAGTGTTGTATAAAGATTTACGTCTCGTCCTTGTCCAAAGATGTTAAACGATTTGCATCTCGCCCTAGTCCAGTCAAAGATGTTGTATAATGATTTTCCTCTAGCCCTAGTCCAGTCAAAGATGTTGTATAATGATTTACCTCATGCCCTAGTCCAGGCAAAGATGTTGTATAAAGATTTACCTCTAGCCCTAGTCCAGTCAAAGATGTTATATAAAGATTTACCTCTAGCCCTAGTCCAGTCAAAAGTGTTGTATAATGATTTACCTTTCGTCCTTGTCCAAAGATGTTAAACGATTTGCATCTCGCCCTAGTCCAGTCAAAGATGTTGTATAATGATTTACCTCTAGCCCTAGTCCAGTCAAAGATGCTGTATAAAGATTTACCTCTAGCCCTAGTCCAGTCAAAAGTGTTGTATAATGATTTACCTTTCGTCCTTGTCCAAAGATGTTAAACGATTTGCATCTCGCCCTAGTCCAGTCAAAGATGTTGTATAAAGATTTACCTCTAGCCCTAGTCCAGTCAAAGATGTTGTATAATGATTAACCTCTAGTCCTAGTCTAGTTAAATATGTTGTATAAAGATTTACCTCTAGCCCTAGTCCAGTCAAAGATGTTGTATAATGATTAACCTCTAGCCCTAGTCCAGTCAAAGATGTTGTATAATGATTTATCTCCAGCCCTAGTCCAGTCAAAGATGTTGTATAATGATTTACCTCTAGCCCTAGTCCAGTCAAAGATGTTATATAATGATTTACCTCCAGCCCTAGTCCAGTCAAAGATGTTGTATAATGATTTACCTCTAGCCCTAGTCCAGTCAAAGATGTTGTATAATGATTTACCTCTCGTCCTTGTCAAGTCAAAGATGTTAAATGATTTGCATCTCGACCTTGTCTGATCAAAAATATTGAATAATGATTAACGCCTCGTCCCTGTCCAAATGTGTTGTTAATATTCTGTCCCATGTCGTGTCAATATTGTTAAACATGAACGTGTTATATATTGGTACTGTCATTTGTGTTTTTGTTCCTCTGAACAACGCCGACTTACGGACACCAAGGAGATTTCTGTTTCATCATATAGTGAATGAAACTTTCATAAAATATATATATAACAAAGCACCCGTAAAATATTACTTAGACGTCTACACAGTTCGCATGATGACTAAAAAATCAGAGACCACTCTCCTGGTTTCAAATATGATGTGTACTTTCTGGTTGATCTTGGATATCGTATAACCTGGGTTTACACAGTGAACCAGACTTGCATGTTTTCACTCGCTGTTGTTAACATGAGAGCCGACTCTACACTTTCTAAGTGTTCAGCTTTTGGATATAAACTCGTGAGTCATCCGTGTTCTCACGTTGGCAGTGGTGACAGTGATCACTTTAAACCGTGTAGGGTTTATTTGTGGGTTTTCTTATTGTCTGTTTGTTCTTGTTTTGATATTACAGTGTTTGTATCTGGCCTTGCATGGGGTACATTTCATACCAGAGCGTGGTGTTTGAGTGTCTGTAAATGTAGGTGCATGGAGTGCCTTGTATTACCGAGTGTAGTTTTGGAGTGTCTATAACTGTAGAAGAAAATGGGATGAATTATATAACTGGGCGTAGTGTCGGAGCGTCTGTAAATGTAGGTGCATGGAGTGCCTTGTATTACCGAGTGTAGTTTTGGAGCGTCTATAACTGTAGAAGAAAATGGGATGAATTATATAACTGGGCGTAGTGTCGGAGCGTCTGTAAATGTAGGTGCATGAATGCCCAGTTCATTTCTCAGAATATTCTTAGTTCTCTCATCTAATCCGTCAAGATCCGGGTTAGAATTGGTCTTCGGCAACCCAAGCTTGTCGTAAGAGATAACTAACAGGATCTGGTGGTCAGGCTAGCTGACGTGGTTGATGTATCTCATCGTATCCCAATTGTGATGATCGATGCTCATGATGTTAGTTAATCACTGGACCGCCTGGTCCAGATTTGATTATTTACAGACCGCCGCCAAACAGCTTGAGTATTGCTGATGCTCCGTTATACAAAGCGGCGCTGTATTCGATATCACACGTCCTTCTTGCCGTCTTGGTTTGATCACCTGCATAGATTGAGTCTGCATTGGTATCCATGGTTGATAATTATTCGCATGTGTAATGGGAACGTATGTCGGTCAGGCCGGTGGGAATATCGACCAGACTTGGGCCATGTAGTTAACAATGTCCATTAAGCTAGCTAATCCTGTTGTAAAGAGATGCTCAATCTTTATGCCATCTCCATTCTAAAACAACAGCACTGTCCAAGTTGTTATGGAAACACATTCCATAAATGGCAATTAACTTCATACTAAAACATTGTTTAATACACAATTTACACTTACGTGCAAACAACACGAAAAATATGACTGATTGTACATCACATCAATACAACATGGACATATCTCAATCTCCATAATATTAGAAATAAAACTGTCAGTAAACTAGGGTATAAATATTCATAATCCATTTATCACATGGAACATATCAGATCAGATATCTGCAATACTACTGACATAGTATGGGCAAGTTTATCACTTGTTTATCGGGGTTGATCCCGTTCCTGGTAGTAGTGAATAGCAAGCATGCCTTTTGACACCGACATAACTCAAACTGGCTTTGTAAGACATGGAGTGTAGAAGCCGCCATGGATATTATGGTCTAAAATACATACTTCCTTATTGCTAAGCACTGTCGACAACTCTGGAACAGTACATACATTAAAACCAAGTACATGTTCAATATACATAGTCCTTCTAAATAGATACACCTGGACGACTGCAATCTACGGGACTTCAATGAAACTGAATCGCTGACAGCATTGAACAAGCGAATATTGAGACAAATGAGTACAACAAAATTGTTTAGAATCACCCGTCTTTCGATATGATCACCTCTACGGTTAATAACTGAGGTATATAATTAATGTAGAGACGACATTCACGATATCACCTGATAGAGGACGACAATTTGATAATCTGGAGGTGGAGGATTCTTTTAACAAACATAATTTGTTCATTATGCCGGAAAAAAAGTACCCGGGTTCTACACACCAAAAAATCCTTCACCTGACATACTGGATGTTTTAAAATATTGTGTTGTGGATGCAGAAAGATTGGTTGGTCCCTCCTTTCAGAGAACACGTGATATGTCTTTAAATAAAGACTGAAAATGGTTGTTCCTTAATTAAACCCATGTCTTAAAACACATTTGGCTATGTTCCCCTGTTCCCCAAAGAAGCTGTTCTTGGGGGACGTTGGTCGATACTGTAGACATTGGAATGTTGTTCAATGAACGCATACGCGGCAAAATATTACATTCCATTCCATTTCCGACTATAGAGAAATAAACTCGAAATAGGTTTGAGTAAACGAGATTATATCTCGGAATTAAACAGAAAATAGCATTTCTTTCAAACGAACGAACGAACCCACAGTTATTAATTGCTCAAGTAAACGTCGAATATCAACAATTCATTCAGCATGAATACACTTAACTGCTATATTACTCTTACCGTGAGTTAATTGCTCCAGAAAACAGGATATTATATAACAGTGCTCGTTCAGTTACACAACGTAAGATGAGACCGTTTGAAAGAATTGTCATTTCGCGTTCAATCTCCAGAGTGTGTTCCTGTAAGTCATATCAAATTCGAGCAGACATGCCCATAGTATATCATGATCCTGATACATGAAGGTATCGTTGGTTAAATTCCTACAAAATGTCTTTGGATTCAAGCAAGCAGTCTAACAGAATACACTCTTAAAAACTTGTCAGCTTTAAAAAATATAAATCTATGGCTGCTTCCTTCATCTCTTTCCTAATGTTCACATTCTATAACCAACACTTCATGTTCCCCATCCTGGTTGTGCTGGTTCTGGGTGACCAGAATATCCGTTGGCACGTCACACGAGTTGTCAATATCTGTGGTATGTACGGTAGGAGACACAAACACGCTGTCACTGTCCACAGCCTTGCTTCCTGACAGAGTAAAGACTTCATCGTTATTCTCCACCACCTCCTCATTAACTCCAGGCTCTGATGTCATACTCCCCCACTTCTCGCTCTCCTTGGGGTAGATCTTGCAGTGGCGCAGAGACAGAAGAGACGTATTTTCAACTTTGCCGGTATCCGAGACGTCTGAAGATGTCGACATCCTCACTGGTCCCGCATCCCCATCTGTGTCGGAAAACCTAACACCTCTTCGGACAGGTGGAACATTGGGCACCTCTGTGTGTTTTTTGAGGACTGGTTTGGAAGGCTCTGTTTGGAGGGCGTGAAGGCCCGCCTCCCGCCTGTGTATCAGTGTCACTTCGTTGGGTCTTAGGACTGAAAATAACATAGGACATCTTTTCCAGCAGAATGCCTTTGGGTCATCTGGGAAGCAGATTTGAACACATGGTTTGATACTTATCATGTCCGTGAGGAAGCTGCCTGCAGCAAAGAAGATGATAGATACTGTGAGAAGAACAGGCCCAAGGACAGGAAAGGAGGCCGGGACGTCTTGAGCGTTTTCTTTGATATTGGCAACTATGAGAATGATGGATCCAGCAATAGCTAGTGGGATTCCCAATGTAAAGATGCAGGCACCCACACCCTTCCGGATCTGGGCACGCTGGCCCCTTTCGGTATTCCTCTGCCGTCGTCGTCGGTGCAACTCTGAACGCTGGTGTTTCTCCTTTCCCATCTCATGGCAAACTACTGACGTCACTTCCGCTCAGAAGACGCGGCTTCAGGGGAGTCAATGGCCGTCACCTGGAACAAGAGTACATAATAATATTAATGACTCTCGTCAATGTGTTCTCACTGAGAACAGAAATCAGCCCTAATGTGAGCCTACATACATGATGTAAACTGTTTACATATATGACCCAATATTTCTTCATATGAACAAAATCTATTCACTGAAAATTACAATACTAGCGTCATAAAGTACTATTCCTTGAGACAGTTGTTAAGAGATTATCAAGGCACGTATATTATTGTGTATGTTATCACATCGCATTACATACCGTCTCATTAGGGGCTGCTTGTGTGTGGTATCCTCAAATATGCAGTATTAAAACAGAGAGAGGTTTCACACAAAGGATGACCTATTTATGCCACACACACGATACAAATGTAAGTCCCTGCGACTGTTTACCACTAGAACGTCCTTGCATTGAGACTCGTGAGTTTCTAACCGCGTCACCAGTTTCTTTCACCTCACCACACCTCCAGCGAGCTACAGTATAACACTTGACCTGGCTTTACATGCGCTATGTATATATAGCACGCAAGACGCAATACAATATAATGCACACAAAACAGTACCTGTGTACATACATCGCGGCGTCGCGACAACACTTCAGACTTTCACATTATCAATTCAGATCAGTTTCGGCTTCATCATTAAATACACAATGATAAAAGCAAACTTACAGGTACCATCACGGCATTGTTATAAAAAAAGGGTCAATATTTACGTCGTGGTCGATTATTACAATAACATTTGCTCGTATGAATGTAAACTGCCATGTTCAGTCCTGCCGTCGGGGAAAGGCCATACACTAGATCAGCCGGGTCAGTTATCGGTTTTCGGTGATCAATTGTGGACGTTGTATTTGTTGTTAAAATCCAGTCAGCAGAATTCCAGCTGTATGTAATCGAACCTGGGCAAGACAAACCAGGGATTGATATTGTGAACACCGTCGACGCCTTCGGGGTACGATGACACGCAATCAACCAAGGAACCTAACCATCCGATCCATTTCGTCGTCACGTACGACAAACATAGGACGTTGGGGGCCTAGTCTAGCCCGGAATCATCATGGGGTATCAGAGTCGTAGAGGTACTCAGCAGTAACAACGACAAGCCACCCATTTTAAGTCGTTTACAAGTTTATGTTTAAGAGTTATAAGAACAGTCCTACCAGCAGGATCAGGGCCGTGAGAGAAGGGTTCAGAAGGATGTAGAGTAATAGAGGTCGCACACTATCCAGGTCACAAAGTGAACAGAATATGATCGCGGTCCTTTACACAACGCGCATGTCACAAATCAGGCTAATTTGGGAAACCATGGTCGCAGAGAGCGGGGGTGGAGGGGGGCCGTGTTCCGAAAGTTTACCTCCTGAGAGTTTCTAGGGCTTAATTAGGCCCTGCTCGTAAATAAGCACAGGTTGTATGTGGTGTCTGGAAATACGTTGTTTCAAATACGCCTCTGGTAAACGATAGGACGAGATGGTAATGACTGTAACCTTCTAGTGCCTCACATGCACCGGGAGCTGAGAATAACATGTTAGTGCACACTGATCCAGTTATCGTAATAACGTCGCGCCATGGGCAATCACTTGGTAAATGGAAGGACGTATTATCGTATGTCTGTCTGTGCGTGCGTGTGTACCCTGAAACCCCATATAAACATTAAAAAAAACATGGACATATTGATGTCAGAGCATAATCACCCCTTTGGTCCCTTCTTGCTAATGACATGGCGTCGTGCTGAGGCACGCAGACGTCACAAAGCACACATAAATAGCTGTCATTATCCGATGATTATTGCATAGGCATTATCAAATTCCATAGGGAGTTCTATTCAAATGTTTACAGTGCATTCACAAACACAATGAAAGAATTTGATTGTGTATTTGTTAGATGTCACAGATTTATCAGCAAATTCAGTAAATACTGTTTCTGCTAACTGGATAATACGATAGATAATTTGAGATAGTACCTTCAGTGTGCTGAATGATCCAGAGAAACAGCTGTATATGGAGCATACAGTATACATTATTAATAAGCAGTATCATAGACCGTTAATCTGATATTCATAGTCCTTGTTGACATAGATGCATACAGATGCTATTACAACTGATATACTGTTTGCAAAACAAAACGATTGCATGCGACAAACTCCCCGTTTATAAGGTTTTGTTTGTTTGTTGTATAACGCTGCACTCCGCAATATTCCAGCTATATGATGGCGGTCAGTAAATAATCGAGTCTGGACCAAATAATCCAGTGATTGATATCACGAGCATCGGTCCACGCAATTTGGATACATGTATCAAGTCAGCGAGCCTGACAACCCGATCCCGTTAGTCGCCTCTTACGACAAGCATAGTCGCCTGTTATGACAAGCATGTGTTGCTGAAGACCTATTCTAACCCGGTTCTTCACAGGTCCCGTCCATAAGGTAACCATGTAACTGAACTCTAAACAATGCATTTTGTTCATTATTAAACAGCAGATATTGCACACGAAATAAATACGAAGACAAAACATATAGGATATTTGACACATTTTGTCAAACTAAATATATAGCTCAGTGCGTGATATTGACAGTTATTAGGTCACCCAGTGAGATAATCATGTTATTTGACAAGATAATCAAATTATAATGGGAGTTATTTTTTGTTTGTTTTTGTTTTGTTTTTGTTGTTGTTTGTTTTGCTTTGTGTATTTCAGGATTTATTACCACTTATACAAGCCACGAATCGATAATTTGCCCTTACATGTCTACGTGGCCAGTGGTTAATTGGGCTTCGTCTGTTCTGTTTGTTAAAACCTGGCTTTCATTTACGTGGAAGGGGAAAGAAGAGTAGGAGAAATATAAGACTGGTGGAAGAGTAAGAAAATGATAATGGTAGATCAGGGAGTGATATCTTGTGTCACACACGTTATTGATTTCCTCAAAGATAGGCTTGTCGCCAAACAATGTATCCCTTTTGGACATACAGAACTGAACTTCACCATATACGGTAAATCTGGAACGTTTTACGAGAAGAAGGCACTGCGAAAACTGCGAGAGTTTTTCATGACACAGGTATTTTTTTGCAAACCAACAAGAAACAAAAGACGTGTATATTTTTTAAATCACTTCCACGCGTTGTCATGCTGCATGAATAAAAAACCATCCCTTATACCCTGTGTTTTCCCTAATTACACACTGCCACTTAGTGCCAGTAGTCTAATTAGTCTAACTTCACTTACCTGTCACAACTCGTCAAGGTGTTGACATAGCACAGGGTAACCCAGACATACACCTGTCTATTCTGTTAGATAAACACGCTTCTCCAACCTCCCTTGTCAACAAGACATGCATCTATAGTTTAAAAATCACTGACTGACACTGAGTTACAATTTAGTCGTACGGCTTCCTAATAAATATGTCACTTGTAAAAGTAGTTTGGTAATCTCAACAGGATGTTGTAAAACTTTCCAGATGTAGTAAAGGCTATTGTTAGCCATTCGCAGTAATATTGTGGCGCAAAGTTTTTTCAGATTAATATACCTTTCTAATTATTTTCTTTTACCTCATGATACTTAACAGAAGTTCAAAACTTAAATCAGATTCTATACACTAACATCTATATGGGTATTGTTTTGTGACTGCATATAAGTGATTTAATGGCACACTATATCAAGAACGGTCGATCTACAATCTAAATCAGTTACTACGTTTGTCATGGATTTGAACCATTTCACAATTAATTCCTGTACTTTTAATGCAAGTGAAGAAAATGTGTTCTAATGTTTCAGGTTTATTTTCACAGAAAGTACATGAACTGTCATCACGACTGCCTATTTTGTGTAGAAACGAATTTGTACTAATACTTTCTTAAATAGAAAGGTGAACGTTTTATTGTTAACTGTTGCTTCTTGATTCAATTCAAAGTATCTGGGTAAGTGTTCAGTAGTTGCTGAGTTTTCTAATTTTATTTCCCAATTTGAACTTTAGTAGTTTAGATTTGAATTGTTCTTTTTCTGAACAGTTTATAGACACATATACAGTCGTCTGTGTCGCAAACGGTCGCATTGGTTATATAAACAATTATGTTTCTATGGGGAAAATTAACAGATTTGGCAAGTCACGCCATTCAACAATCTCTTTTCATGTGTTTACAAAAATTAAATATATCTATCATTTTGAGTCCTCCTTCGCTGTAATCATTCGATAACATTACATATTTTTCACGCCCTCCAGACCCAATAAACTGAAAAAATAGTGTTCGGCTGTTCAAAGTAGTTATTATTTGGGTCAGGTAGGGCTGTAAATAGATGCGTGAACGATCTCAATTACCTTGAGAAAGGACCTTTGATATCAGGCTTTAAAAATTAATATCATACATTTTCCTGAACGTTTGATGTTATTGATCAGATAAGTATGTTATTTGGAAAATAAAAACGTCAGAAGTCAATTGTTGTAGCTATTATAATCTAAGTGAAATATAATTGCTCACATTAATACCATATGCAGGTTGCATACCAATCTCATGAAAATCAGATCTAAGTTCTCTGAATTTATTGAGATTGGTTTCAAACGATTTCTTTAATCCCACACACTAACTGGTCACATCAACAAATAAACAATAACATCCCGACTAAGATGATCGTTCCCTGTCTGAATATTGATGGACATATATGAAGTATCCAAGATACTTATAGTCGTTTGCCAATCGCCATGGGTGGCAGAAACACGCATATGACGTAACGGAGCTTATATTCAGTGGCGATTTGCGTTAATCAAAATAATACCTATCACCAGTCGTCGTCGCTATAGCAATGCTGACAAACAATAACAACGGCCCTGATTTAACCTGTTTTAAATATCGCTGACATCACGGCTTAAAAGGATACGGTTGAGTAGTCATGTTGTGAAAAGAGAGTTGATAGGAAAACAATCCTGATCGTGACATTCTGTTGATACACGGACAGTGAAATAGCAGCCCTGTGAAGACAGCACTATATACACATCATGACTCGGCATAAAAGCC